CAGCACTCGAGGTGTGGCCTCACCAGTACTGAGTACAAAGGGATGTTCACCTCTCTAGTCCTGCTGGCCACACTATTTCTGATACAAGCCAGGATGCTGTTGGCCTTCTTGACTGCCTGGGCACACTGCTGGCTCACGTTCAGCCAGCTGTTGACCAACACCCTCAGGTCTTTTTCCACCACACAGTTTTCCAGCCACTCTCCCCAAGCCTGTAGCGTTGCATGCGGTTGCTGTGACCCAAGTGCAGGACCCAGCACTTGGCCTTGTTGAACCTCATAGAATTGGTCTCGGCCCATCGATCCAGCCTGTCCAGATCCCTCTGTACAGCCTTCCTGTCCTCCAGCAGATCAACACTCCCACCCAGCTTGGTGTCGTCTGCAAACTTACTGAGGGTGCATTCGATCCTCTTGTCCAAATCATCAATGATGATGTTAAACAGAACTGGCCCCAACACTGAGCCCTGAGGAAAACCACTGGTGACTGGCCGCCAACTGGATTTAGCTCCATTCACCACCACTCTCTGGGCACGGCCGGCCAGCCAGTTTTTTACCCAGCAAAGGGTATGCCTGTCCAAGCCATGAGCTGCCAGCTTCTCCAGGAGAATGCCATGGGAGACAGTGTCAAAGGCCTTGCTGAAGTCCAGGTAGACCACATCCACAGCATTTCCCTCATCCACCAGGTGGGTCACCTGGTCATAGAAGGAGATCATGTTGGTCAAAGAGGACTTGCCTTTCATGAACCCATGCTGGCTGGACCTGATCCTCTGTCACTGCAGTTTTTTGAGGAAAAAAACTATTTCACTGAGCCCTGATGTTCTTTTTCCCTGATTTTGGTGTCTCTGGTGCTGGGTGGCCATGCCAGCACTGTCAGCACTGCACTGTGGGCCCAGGATGTCCATGTGGGTCGCATGGGGCCAGAGCAGGGATGTGGTGGCCAAGGACACCCCACTCAGAGCCCTGAGCCAGGGCTGCTCCATGCCTTGTGGTAACCAGCAGCAGTTCTGTGTGATTTTTTTTTTGAACAAAGTAAAACATTCCCACAATCCCCACCTTTTCCATAAACACAGCCCTGCAGGGTGGACCCGCTCGCCTGAGGCTGACCAGGCTGCCAAACACATCCCTCTGTTCATGAGACAGTCACCAAAACTGGGCTCCCAAACCCCTACAGAAGAAGAGTCTGAGGCATCCTGTAGTTTTCACCCACTTCAGTTGAGGGAGATTAGCTTCAGAGCTGCTGATTACTCAAGACACTTGATTTTTGGTGACTGGCTATCAGATTAAGAGCCAGAAATCAGTGCTGGAGATATCAGGCATTCAGCTAGTTTAAACAACGTTGACAGTTAATTGAACATCAGAGGAGGAAGAGTTTGCTGTCATTATTGCTGGGTAGCAGTCCCAGAAAACACATGAATAGGTCCATATGCCTCCCTCTGAGATAGGACGCAACTCTGGACCTCTGCTGGGCTGTGCTTCCTGGAGGTCTCCATGCTTACACTCCTCTTCTGTGTCACCACAAATCTGGAAAAAATTAATCTCTATTTGTATATCTCTGCCTCCATGGGTCAGCAGGACACCTGACCAAAAACCTTAAACAGGGATGGTGCTAGTAAGTATACAGCTGGAAAGTACTCCACATGAAGGTGTATGCAATATTGGCAAACGAAGTTTCTGCCCATAATGTTACTTTAATAGTCCACAGTTTTACAGCAACATATGTTCAAAATCATCATTTCCAGAAAACTGCACAAGACTTAGGAAGTTTAACCAGAATGTTAAAAGAACTCTTCAGAAAAATACAACATAATAACATTTTTCCAATTCTTTGAATGTGTTTATTTATGTTTCAATTTGTGTAAGGAAGTTTCCATGCTATAAATTTTTATTAAAAACATGTCATTAGAAATAAATAGTACATTTATAGTCATAAACACACCAGTAGTTTTTACACACACTGATGTTGGTTTTCCTCTTGCAAAACTGGAAGTGTATTCCACCATCTGATTTTTTTGTTTATACCTGATATAAAAGGATAAAGTTGCTGCACGAAGTTTATACTTATTGTGGGTTTCATCTGTCCTCAGACTAGATACACAGATGGTTTGAGTCTGTGTTCCTAATAATATTTATATGGGAAACATAGACTTCTGTCCTTGCTATTGATTTTGGATGTGGTAAATGAGCTTAAATACTGCAGAAAAAACATAAGGATAGTAACAAAGATTAATACATTGGTTGATTTTTCTTGCTTGCTCATGGGGATGACTGATTTGTATGAAAAAAGAAATATGCTTGTACCATAGAAAGGCTTGATTATACCAGCTGGTTAAAGAAAAAATACATTTTTTTTTTAATTCACCAGAACCTTATTTTCATTAGCTATGTGAAAATATATGGCCTGGTTTCTCAGATACTAGGAAAGCAGAATTCCTCAATGCTGTTCTCCTTTCTGTTTTCTGCTTGCTGCAGATCGAGTTGATGATACTCAAATGTCACACGATTGATGTGTTTGCCGCTGGAGACCATTCGCAGCACAGTATTGTCACAGCCAATCTTCATTTGAGCTAGTTAGGGAAAAGAGATACAGAGGAGTTATAAAGATATACTTAATGAGACATAGGGAAAAGAGATATATAGTGTTGGGAATTACAAAGCACCAATACATACAATTTTAGAAACAATGCAAATTTGTGTGTAGTAATGACTGGCTATTGGTGGCATTGCTGACCAAATACCTTCTTTTGTATTTGTTAGTTTTACTTTACAGTGGCTTGGGTATTTAATCAAGTGTTGTAAGCTTTATTCATGCAGATGCCACTCACTTCCTATCCACCTGCAGTCTCACAGCAGACATGATGCAGAGGTCTGTACATGTTTGCACTTGGCAAGATATGCTACAGTTAGATATCACTAGTGATGGGTAAGGGTGATAGCACTCTATCCTGGAGATATCCAAAATTAATAATATTGAAATGTTTCCTGTTAGAGAGATGAGTGGTTTTGTGCGTAAGGAGGTTCTTCACTGGAACAAAGGTATGTGAGAGTCCCACTGAGGCAAACTCAAATGGCAGTGCCCAGCATATGGACTCACTCTGGGGGAAATCAAGCGTATCGCTAACCACTGCTTCAGATAAGCCATTTGAGCGGGATTTTAGCAAAGCCCATTTCATTTGGTGAACTTGAAGCACCTTGCTCACTGGAGGAGAAGTCTGGTGGGTCATCGGGAGAGTGGGGGCTGCTGAGATGGGATTTCCCTTCCTTCGCACCACCAGGAAAGCACTTTTTAATCTCATTGCAGTGCTTAGTATTCACTCAGCACCAGCGCTTGCCAGTTAAAGCTTTGAACAGTGCCTGGACCATTAAGTTGTGGTGTGATGAAAGGCAAGGGAGACCACAGGGCGAAATGCCAGGCATGTTCCTAGTCTCCAGCCTTGCAGAAATGCCGCTTCTCTGGTGCACCCGTTCATACTCCCAAGGTACAATGCATGTGCCACAGAGTCTCATCTGTCAGATCACTGCAACACTTACTACTCTGCTGTATTCAATATTAGGGAAATTGGTAATTCTTATTTTTATGGGGAAAAAGAGGTCACCAACCTGGCATGATAGTGAAACAGGTTCAGAGCTCCTCCAGGGTTCAAAGCAGAGAGAGGGAGCTCTGAAGCTTTTGGGGTATGTGTTACTCCTGCAGCAGAAAAGGAGGCTTTGGAAACACTGAGTAAGTGAGAAAAAACTCCTTAACTGAAACAACTCCTTAACTCTCTGCCTTCATTTGTTATGAATTTCCAGGCTCATTTATCTGTTAACAATCTAATATTCATATGCAACACAGGACAAGCACTTTAATAATATGTATAACTTAACCTTGTCATAATGATTACTCCAGGGCAAGTGAAGGTGGTCGTGGGTTTGCTGTATCACACAGCCCAGCCGCAGTCTCGAGTAGCTTTAGGTGTCGCGTTCTGCTACATATGGAGTTCACCAGTCTAGCAGGAAATCTAGTTTTGGAAGGGCTCTGCATGACTCTCTCTGGTTAACTATTTTATCACGTGGACGTAAATGAAAGAAGGAGTTCTTACCAGATCCGTGAAAGGAGTGACAGAGATCAGCTAGTGGAAACATCTTGGATGGGTCTAAGCCAGTGCCTCCTAGCAGCTCTACAAAATCTCCTGCCCCTGCACAGCCTGTTGATGGTTTCTAAAAAGGCGGAGATTAAAAGCGATCATTTATCTTCAAAAGGTAGTAGTTATCTAGACATGATCACAGCCAACAATAGGTTTTAGAAGTCCTCTCTGCTCAAACCTGTGTGAAATCAGGCTGTTCTCATGCTGAGCAATACTACTTTGATTTGACATTAGTCAGTTAATTTCTTTAAGGGATTCCAACGAAAGACCTAAGTAGGCTCTGAAAATTACTGACAAGTAGTTAAGGTGTTGATTCAACTGCTTTTAGTGTGGATAAGCAATCCGATTGTGGATGCCTAGACATGTAATCAAATTAATACAAGCATGGGCTGCACATGTGCCACACTCATCTGGCAGGCAGGAACTTAAATTCCACTAATCCATACTTATTCCTAAGCAGTAAGTGTTGCTAAAATGCACGGTTCTGGCAATGTTTAATTAAAGTAGGAATTAACCAAAAGAGTAGTTTTGTGTTATGACAATGGCCCACTGTATATTAGATGCACAACTGTTCTTTTCTTGAAAATTAATGCTGCTTGCCTAAAACACCTTGCATGGACACCTTGTGCACCTTTGGGCTGTCACCCATATGCTGCTATTTAAGAGCCTAATTTCTTTATCATCCTCCTGCTGTTGTCCCATTTCTGCCTACTGCTGAATAAGTCAACTCACTTGCCCATCTCTCAAAGCCTTGTTTGCTCTGATACTGGCAGCCCCCATGAAGGACCTAGGCTGCCAGTCTCACTGGCAGCAGAAAACAAAGTTTCTTGCGGCAGAAGACAAACTTATCCTTCTGGATACTTTGGAATTTGCACCTTCTTAGACCTCCCAGGCACCAGCTGCCACCAACAGCTCTTGTCCTCTCCTGTCTGGTCATCACCAAGCACCAAATGCTGTGGCCAAACCCCAGCCCTGTGTTGTGCATCAGAGCAGATGGAGCAGAGGATGCTCAGCATGCTGAGCAGGGAATCAGTTGTAAGCATGTTTCTATTTTCTCCATGCTAATACCTCACTATCTAACCTGTGTCTCCTTTCTCTGCTCAGAGTGGATGCTGCTTTCATTGGTTTAAATACAGACAGACAGGTTTCCCCCTTTGTTATGCAAGCAATATTTACATGCATTAATGGTACTTTGCATAATTTGATTGCCTCTGCGACATTATGGAGACAATAACAACAGAGACAGACCCAGCTCTCATCTCTGGGGGGAAACCAGAGCCCTCAGTGTATGCGCTTATGGTCTGGAGCGCACGTGCCTTAGCAGCCAGTGCCACAGACTATCCCTGCTTCACCCCCTTCCCTCTCCCATGCCCAGGAAAACTGCATATGGTAGCAATTTCTTAGGAAACAAACAACTCACCTTTAAATAGAGGCCATTTGAATGTCCCAAGATAAGCTCAGTTATTTTTATCACCACTGGGTAGATTATGGAGAAGCTGCAGTTTCTGTGCTCATGAGGAACGACCATGGTAAACCTTCCTGAGGGAGTCTGAGAGATGACATTGCAAGCTGGGGCATGGGAGAAAGTGTAAGATTTATTTGTGCAGTCATCACTGCATGTAGCAAAGTTATGTACTTTCAGTACTAACAAAGAACAGATGATTTAATTACTGAAAGTTACAACCAAATGCTGAAAAATATGCATATGGCATATTCTGGGGTTCTTGCATAGCATTTGTTCCCTAAAAATTCCCTGCTTGTTGCTTACCATGCAGCATGAGATCTGGCAGAACTCAAGGGTGAAATGGTTAGTGGGAGAGCTCACACCCCAAATCCATACGTCAGGGGTCATGTTGTCAAAGGCTCATATTGTTTGCCAGTTTGAAGGAGGCTAAATATGGATGCAGCTTTTTTTTAGCTTTGACTGGTTATCATCTGATATTGCCAGCAACCCCTTAAGTCATATTCCGCTCCTCTTAACTGCAGTTCCTTATCCTACAAAACATCCCACTGAAACTAGAGCAGGTACATGCTGATTTTACCTTAAAGTTCAAACATAACAGTTCAGGTAAGGGAATAGATTATCATCTGTGAGTGCAATCCAAGCGATCCTCCATGCAGACCTGGAGGCCCGCAGCTGCTTCAGCAGGCTGGTGAAGGACACAAGCCACCTCCAGCAGCTGCAGATAGTAATCACATCCACGGGCATGAAGCCACACCAGCGTGGAGACCCAGCTTGCAGGCTTGTGTCTGAACAACTCAAAGCAAGGACTGGGTGGACATGCCATCATCTTCATCCTTTGCATAGTAAGGCAGATAAATCAGACTGGCCTGAACAAAAATTGCTAAATGTCTTGGCCCCTCTTGGAAAAACGATGCAAGTGACCATTATTTGTGCCTTGCCAGCTCACAGGCTTTTTGCAAATAGATCCTTGGGATCATATATCACTCATAACTATCACATAACTATTCAATACACTGGTTTTGCTGTTGAGCTTTTTCAAATATTTTTTCCTCATTGTTCACCCAGATCTAGAAATTGCTGAGATTAAACTCTCTGAATTAATACTATTTATTCTAGCCAAATGTGTTGGAACATGACAATATTAGATTGGAAGAGATCTTCTTTGAAAGAGCCTTCTGGTCCTGAATATTGAAGCCATGCCTAAGTTATCTCTCATGCTTCACTTATTTTTTTCTTGAGACACACACTGAGCCTGAGTCAAATCCTTAGGCATACAGGTGTGCATCGCTCTGCTGGCATTACTGGAGCCGTGTCAGTACAGATAACGCCAACGAGAGAATTCAATGCAAAACAATGTGTTCATTTTGCTTCCTGCCCCAAATGCAAGCCAATTTGACAGTATAAAATGCAGACTTACGAAACAGGTTGGCATTTTTCTTGACTGTGATAGTAAAACCATTGCCTGGCTGGTGAATCCTGAAGAAGATCATTGCCACGTTCTGTGATGACCTGAAGCTTCTGTGAATATTACCACTTTCACAAAAGTCTATGTATCTTTGCGAAGTGGGGAGGGGATGGTCCAAGGAACTGGGAAATTTCTGTCCTTTGAGTATCCAGCCATCAAATACCTACAGGGGTTCAATAATTGAAAACAAGGCTTTTGCTTATCGCTCTGTTAGCAGAGAAGAGAAACATGAAGTATTACAGACACTGTTTTATTTTGACACCAGATGGCCTGTTCAAAGCCACCAATTAAAAACAAAAATTCTTTGTATTTATTGATTTCCTAGCATTTAACTAGTTATTCAAGCTTCAATCAGTATTTAGGAAAGGGATACATATAAATTTTAATATTGCCTTTATTTCCTTCAGGTGACAATTTTAGTGACCTTTTCTTGAGGGAAGAAGCTCTTCTTGCTCCAGCATCATGACATTTGCATCTTTTTTTTAAAAAATTTCTTACTATTGCAATTTCATTATTGCTAAGAGAACTTTTTGACCAGCTTGATTTGAAAGCCACATGAAACATAAGTCCCACTCTCAGACTCTGGACATTAAGCCTATTGATCTGGCCTGTAATTTTCCAGCATCCATGTTTTGCAGCTTGTCATTAATGGGCCTGGAGGCATTCCGGAGGTATTGGAATACAATAAAGCTTTGGGGAATAATTATTGGCAGAGGTATTGCTCTCTCCTGCATCTGTTCTTTCAGCTTGTCCTAACCACTAGAAAGCAGAACAAATGTTATCTACTTGGCTGGACCTTAAGCAGCAACCTCTACAAATCTGTCCTTCGCAACAAAAACAGCGACAAATTGCCCTCACTGTCTTTAGGGAAATGTGTCAGAACTAGAAATCTGTATTAACGCTAGCATACCTGCACAATTTCCTGCTTCGCTGTTTCAATTCCCTCCTAGCTGTTCTCACCTGGTAATTCCTTCTACGCTCCAGTCAATACTTTGAAAATCCAAGGACCAGATCCTGCCATCGCTTCAGTGAGTAATCTTAATGTGAGTATGTGTGGGACTTCCTCATGGAAAAGCTGTAGGATCAGTGTCTGAATTTGCCAGAACTGTAAATTTTCTGAGTAATGAGACCTGGGTGCTCAAATTACACCAGGGAAACGATGCCTGTATAAATACAGTAGTATAATGCAGAAACTGGGGACCCCATGATCAAAGGAAGGAAACCTCTATGAAGCCTCAAAGGTCTCTTGGAATTTTTCTAGCCTCCACAAGTGGCTGTAAGTCTAGGTACAAAATCCTCGGACCCGTAAGATGCTGATATCAGCCTCCCTGTAGCAACAAGGGGAGAGATCCCAGCCAGGGATTCCCCAGGGTAAAGTCAGCAGGGTTACAGCATCTCTCCAAGACAGGGAGACAAGGAAAGGGCTGAAGGGCAGCTTTCCTTCTCCTCCCCGGAGCTCAGCTTACCACTGGGTGGAATGGGGTCTGTGCTGTGCATGGCCACTGCAGCACAAAGGGCAGAACACAAGATGAGGGGGGGCAGCCAGGGGCCGTTGAGCCTCCCCTTCTCTCCTGAACTGAGTTCAGATCTTGGTCAATGCTTCTACCTGCCAACAAAATGTGCTGGTAAATTTTTTTGATACTGGGATATGAATGGCTTTGAGTCGTGAAACTCTCTGTTCAGAGCCAACATCCTGAAAAGCTCTAGTGGGGCCATTTGAAAGAAAGCCTGCAATGATTCACTGATTAATAAGCTGATGTTAACTGACCTAGGAGTGAAGGTCCAGGAGCAGTAACAGCCATTCAGAGAGCTGTATCATTATCTGCAGGGCTCCTGTGATTCACGGTGCAATGAGAAAACCCTCCTGACAGGGCTGAGGGACTCGGCTCATACTGACCAACATTTTCAGTCAGTCCCCCAGGTGTGGACACTCAGTAGAGGTGCTCCTGGAAAAGTCTGCAAGAGCCGATGCTGTAGTTTGGAGAGGGATCCTCAGCCTGCATCTGACTTTGCTTTAGGGGGGTGGTGATGGGGGGTATGCACCCAAAGTACCTCAGGGAGGAAGAATAACCATCCCAGAGATGGCTGCTTTATGAAAGCCTGTTCTGCACGCACAAACACACACGTATGCTTGTGCACACATGAGTTCGCCTGCCCCTTCCACACGTAGAAAAAGTCTCACATGCCAGATGAGAGCAGGGAAGGGGGAGTGCAGTAGGACTTGTCAGCTTCTTACCTTCAGGAAATCGCCCCCTTGGCAGTCGATGTTTACAAAGTCGTAGTCTATGGCGATGAGCTCGTCGGGCTCCCCGATGAAGAAGATCGCACAGTGCAGCTCTGGTTGCTGTGCGGTGAAGGTGAACTGCCCCTCTATACTCAGCATGTCGATGCACCCTGGAGAAAGACAGACACAGAGCTGCTGCCTCAGGCTGCTGGAGAGGGAGACCGGCTCCTGTGGTACGGGGAAGGGGGAGGGAGGAGACACCCCCATGCTTAGACCCAGATGGCGGTGAGGAAAGGGTGATCCAGCTGAAGAAATTAGGAGCCTGCTGAGCATCGGAGGATGAATAGTAACTCACAGGTGCGAGCACACGCATGCGAGGGGGGGGCACAGGAGAGACGACACTTTGAAGAATTTCTGAGCAAAAAACCGTGTGTGTATGTGCACAAGTGCACAAACACCCTGTTCCTTCAGATTTCTCTTGAATCACAGCTTTTCCATCTGTCCCCATGCCCTGGAGACATGACCCTGCACAAAGACATGAGTGGACAATCCCCGTCCTCCTCCCATTATTGGGGCCCCTCCACTCTGAGCCCTAACCTCTTTTCAGAGCCCTGTTTCAATCCCTCTGCTTCAACTACAGTTTGAGATTTTTAACACATTGTTCTTCTCCCCTGCCTGGCAAAAAGCACCTGCAGCTCTGTCACTCCCAATAGTCCCCTTCCCCTCCCTGAGCCCCGAGCTCCCCCCAGGACTCTCTCACCCACCAATGGTCCCCGCCAGAGCAGCAAAGAAACTCACGGAGTGACCGCCGGTAGATCTGCCCTGCAGACAGCTCTCGCTTCAGATCTTCACTGAGGAGTAGGAAGGGTTCATCTTCATGGGCATCCCTCACCTGGTGAAGGAAAGATGGCAAGAAGAGGCTGGGGTGTACTGAAATGCAGCCTCCTCCCTGCACCTCTCAAGAACAGGCTCCAGCAGATTAAATCCCTCCTCCAGAAACAGTGCAGCTCTGGAAGAGCTCAGTCAGAAAGCTGCCAACCTGCAGTAGAGGGGAACAAACCTGGAGCTTAAGAAGTGAGCCCAGCAGCTCAGTGCAGAGTGAGTCTCTTAAATAATCAGCCAAAATGCAAGTTTGAGAAAAGAGAGGATAAACAAATGTGGGGGAAGGTGGATGACACACGGGACTGTTGCATTAATGTTACTCACATGTAGATTTAAGGCAGGAGAGGTGGGAATAGGAGGGGAGAGAGGAAAAAGCACAGTGCTCGAAAGCTGGGACTACAAGTTAGAAGACAGCAGCTAAAAGCACAGCAAAGCGCTTCGGTTGTCAGCCCCATTGCTCACCTCGAGGTATCTGGTTTCCCCCTTGGAGGCTGCCAGGAAGATGAGAATGAAGTGGCATTGAAACTGGAAAGCAGACGGCATGCTGACACCTCCTCTGGCGGCCCTCCCTCTTTCCTTGCAGCCAAGTTTCTCCCGGTCTGCGCGGGTAGGCAGGAGCCACTGGGGTATCTTGGAGAGACTCTTTTTATAGAGCTGTTGGGAGGGGAGGCACTTGGTCCCCGTACTGATAGGGTAACCCATGGTAACTGAATTCCTCTCGCAGTGACACAGTACGTGGGCATGACAAGGGTCCAAATCACAGCCACAAATTTTCAAGCCGGTCGAACTCCCCTCACTGACAGATGTCTTTTCTACTTATCTGCCTGGCGGAATCGAAAAGCTCTGGGAAGGAGAGCCTGTCCCCACGCAGCTAGGGCACTCATGTGGTGTGTTTATTTCTAATTACTCCAAAGCAAGGAATAAGGAGCATCCCTCCCTCCTTCTCTTCTCCTGCTGTCCAGTCCCGGGGCATTTTGGACCTCCAGGACTCCCTGCCTCCCTCCTTCTGCTCCATGACATGCAGGTCTCTGCAGCCCCCATGCTAGGTGCTTCCCACTGGCCAGGCCAGGGTGGGCACCCCTGCATCCCAGCCAGGCTTGCAGCCTGGGGTGAGCATCCCGCCAGGGCTGGGGGACCCGCTGACTTCCAGGTCCTGCACCTGCAGCTGGGGCACAAGGGGTCCACAGCAAGTACACGGGCAAAACCAGGCAGTTCTCCCTGCCAGACACGGCTTTCATACAGAAATTAGGAAAACTTGGTGTTCCCCAGGGCGTATTCCCCACAGAACAGCTGATACTGCTCCAGCACTGATCCTTGAGGGAAACCTGAGAAAAACCTTCAAAAGATGAACCTGGGAATGAAAATTCGTAACTCTGCAGAGTATTAAGAATCAGAAACTCAGCAGAGATATTAGTTTTAGGGTATATTCTTGTTTTCCCCCCACCGAGGATGAACCATCAATACTCTGCAGACAATTAACTACCCTTTCCCCACCTCAGGCTTCTTACTAATGTCTCTTTCTGCTTTATGCTTCCCTGACAAATTGTCACTTTGTTTCAGCAAAACTTAGAAATAATATGACCCGGACTTGCAAAGCTTTAAGTTTGTGGCTTTTCATTTCATTGTTATGGCTTGTGGACAGAAATATTTACTTGCTGTTTGACCCAACCTCTGGTTGAACAACAAATAAATAAATCTTGTTCTGTCTATACACCTGTGGCTCTGACCTGATCATGCTGTAATTCTTATTCTTATGGTTTACTTTAATGTAAACTATAATATTGCTCCATATCTGCATGGCACTTCTGTGAATTTACCATATCTGTGTGGGTTTCAAGAGTACAAAAATACTAAGGAAATGGAAAATACTATTTTTGAACTTTGACATCAAGTTGCATTCAAAGATTTTTAAAACTGCTTTGGAGAACTGAGTAGTTAATTACTGCATGAACCAAGACTGAATTAATTCATCTTCATGTATGTGCCTTGAATTGTTTAAATATCGTGATTTTAGGCAAGGATCATCAGAGGATCATCCAAGGGTGTTCGGAATCTGAAATCCATTGAAGTTCTTTGGGAATTACAAGTTTTGTTGGAAAACTGCAGGGTTTAGTCCCAGCTTGCATTAGAGGATGGCTGAGAGGTGAGAGATGCCCTGGAGACCACCAGGATCCTGCAGGACCAGGAGAGGCTGCAGGGGAGCCCAGCCTCATTCGCTTTTCTTATCACACGTTCACTTTCTGAAGAGATGAAGAAAGTTAGAATTACAGCATGTTGTCTCCATTCCCCATCTTCAAGGCACTTTGCAGTTCCAGTTCTGGCTGAGGTGTCCCAGTTTGCCATGCCAGCCCCTAACCTAGACCTCAGATGCTGAGTCCTTGAATATCTTCAGTAAAGGAGAGAGAGTGTTTGATTGTGTGAGAATTTGACTAGTTACTGATATTTGGTTAAATATAGCTCCACAAATGAGTGAAGGACAAATGGCACTGCAGCTAGGTCAATATGACTGTCTATTAAACCAACTGTGAGGTGATCAAGTCAGAATAAAACATACCAACAGTGAAGTCAACAGATTTTAAACTCTTGCCCAGGAATAACTGAGGTGTGGGCTTGCATAGCATTCTTTGGTGGAGGTGCCCAGACAAGCAGGTAACCCCAGGGGCTGGAGGACATCCCAGCAGATGAGGTGTGGGGACTGTACTTCTCCAACCAACAAGGTGGTGGGAGGGAATATAGAAGCCACCTCCATGTCTATTAAAATTTCTTACTCACATGGGACCTACAGTGGCTTTGCATTTCCTATGCAACACCTGCAGGAGTTTGATTTGAGTGCTACAAATATTCTGGAAAACAGTAGTGCAAAAATTAAACTCAGACAGCCCTTCCTCTGGATGTGGATCTTGGTTTTAACAGAGGTGCTAAGGCAACCTGTCATCTACTCCGCAGCATCTTCCGCTTTGCATTTCGGCTCTGGGCTCAGCAGGAGCCGATGAAGCACAATGACATCCTGCCCAGCCTCATCACAAGGTCTCCCAGTGCCTGAGGTAATTCCCTATGTCCTCAAACACAGAGCTACCCTCAGCCCCCAAACTCTTGTATGGTTCCTTTTGTGCAGCTGTAATGCCTGTGGAAGGTAAGTATTCAGGATGGGGATAGAGAACCACATGCAGAGAGGTGCAGCTGCTGCTGCTGGCAGGGGATCTGCCCTGCAGTGCCTCCAAACCTGACTCGAGTGGAACCTGGGCAGATAGACCACCAAAGGGGACCAGTCCTGGAGGAAGGAGGGGGCTCCTCTCCCAGCCTTACATCTTGGCTGTCAGAGGGCGACAAAGGATGGGGGACCACCTCCTCACCCAATGCTGCTTCCTCCTCACAGGGTATCACAAGTCCCCGTCCCCTCTGCACCTCCTTTTGCCACCTCCAGTGTTGCTTTTGTTTAAGGCCACTAGCAGAGACTGAGCTCTCCAGGAAATGAGATTGTGACTAACAAAGCAAAGAAAAATCAGCAGTTTAAACATGGTTCAAAACATCCCTGCAGCATTTCAGAATGGAAAAGCACCTTCAATGCGATACAAACCCTTGGGCAAATGAGGAGGGTGTTCTTTCATGGCACTGAGTCATGTTAACATTTTGTAGGACAATTTTTTTCATTAATATCAAATTATATAACACAGTAAAATGCTTTCCCAGTCTGACCCTGCTGGGGGCTAGATAATCCAGTTGCTCTCATGCTATGACACCTTAAGTCTGCTAACAGCCGTAACTCACTCTGGGAGCAGCCCCTTTCCCTGGCAGAAGCGATGGGATGCCATCATGCTGGTGAGAGGCTGGGCTGCATGCAGGGTATCACCCACCCCGCTCTGCTATGGCTCAGGGCAGTATTGCTGGGGCACCCCAGCCTTTGCAGAGCCTCAAGTTGTTACAGCAGTGCTTGTGGGTGGGTTTTTTACACTGTTCAGCTATGTGCTTGGGAGGACCCATGGTGGAAATCCTCTGCCTCATGCTCAGAGCATGTAGGTGTCTTGTTAGCTAGTATAGCAAAGAAGAGATTCCAGCTGTGGTGAGAGGTGGAAAAAATACAGCTGAATAAAGACAGTAGTGAAACAAACCCCGTTTACCCTCCCCCATGTTGATCAAGAGATGCTCTGTGAGATAATACAGGTGGTAAATGCAGCTGCCTCTCCTCAAAGGTAAGGTAGTTGGTACAGGAAAATTGTGGATGATACTCTTGGTACTGAGATTTCTTAGCGAGCAGTGCCTGAGCTACAGACACCCGTTAGGGATCCCTTCCTGATGCAAAGAGGGGCCAAGTGTTATAAACCCTTTCTGCTCTCCAAAAAGGTCACTTGTGTCCCCAGCTCACTAACACAGCACCCTGCCATGCTTTAATTTCTGCAAAAGATCATTTTATTTCAACACTCCTTTCACCTCAAACACACTGCAGGCTGTAGCCCCCGTTCCATCTACTCAACATGGAAATTTCACCTGCAGCACATCTCACCCTGCACCCAGCCAAAGGGATGAACCTTGAGGCTTGCTGATTCTGGAAAGCCTGTACAAACCACAGTTCCTGGACTTCCTACCAGCTACTTGTTGAAAACCACAATCTTCTGGTTCAGGCCATATTTTAAACCCACCATTTCGTCCCCTCTAGAGCACCTCCATCCTCAGCTGCAGCCTGACTGCTGGCAAAAGCAGCCAGAGCAGACCAAACTTCTCTCTAGCACTGGGACCTTAAACAAGAGTTAATTTTCCTGTATAGACACAACCCCAGGCAGGCTCTGACTCCATGCCACAGGGAGCAGCCTGACTGCTGCATATTCCACAGAGGCCCCTCTGCTTATCGCTGCCTGGTGGTTTCTTGAACTGATGGCAGCAGCAGTGAGTCCCGCAGTGCTACACCACCGACTGCTTAAGTGAAGAAGATTTCTCCTACCTCAGGCACACCATCCTCAGCTGTTGATGCTGATTTCTCACTGCTGCTCAGCACTGGCTGGAGATGCGGTGTGGGGTGATGCACAGTGTGAGACGTCTGGCTGGACTTTAAATTTCCTATTGTGTCAGCTGCTAAACGTTGTGCTGAGCTACATTTACTTCCCTTACACTTATCCCCACTGTAATGCAGAATTAATTCAGGAACTAGTTTTTCGTTTCCCCCACAGTGTCTGGGAGATATAGTATTCACCAGTCCCTGCTTTTTATTCTGTAGCTGCAGATGTCATACCGATGTCCGTGTCTTTGCAGGGTAGAAGATTGCTGCACGTCACTTGTATTTTATTACACATGTATGCCATTCAACTGTTTGCAAATCCTTCAGTATATTATTCCTGAACAGTGGGATCAGTTAGCCCAGACTGAGGCAAGAAAGAAACCTAGTGGCTCTGAAGTGTCACAAATGCTACAGTGAGGGCCAAATTTTTGGTCCTATCCTTGCTAAATTGCATGCTAGCAATCAGTTACTGCTCTGAAATAACACAACAGAAAAAGAAGCAAGAAGGCTGTATGGCAAATGGCAACCCTGGAGGTCATTAGGAAACCATATCCTCAATACAGACTCACACAAGACTTTGCTTCAGAAACTGTCTGAGGGATCGAGAAGCTAAAGCCAAACATG